AATTTAGAGAAGCCAATTAACCCAACCAGGGGAAGCTGGAGTGCCAGGAGAGAACTCACACATGCAGAGGGTGAACATGTAAACTCAATGCAAAAAGACCCCAGGCTGGGTATGTAACCTGTAACATTCTTGCTGCCCACTGGATCACTTAGCAGCCCCTAACAGAACAATTAAGGCCATTATGAGATACAGGGACCTGGTGTAAGGACTTTAGAGCTAGGGCGATGCAGTCCTCTTTGTTTTAGTAAGGGTGCTGGTTTAGCAAGGATCAAGTCAGCTGAGCAGGAGGTGGTGAAAGCTCAGCTTTTAAGAAGGGAATTACACAAAACCTATAACTCTGATTAAAAGGACAGGCTGCAAGGTTTCTGACCCCACAGGATAACATTCGTACTAGTTTGGTAAAAGATACCTAGATATGACCTCATTCTTTTTGAAGTGAAGACATCCGGGAGGAATCACAGAAACATTTTTACTATAGCTTAGGCTGTTCCTGCTCAAAAAAACCCAGACCATCATCCCCATGAGCTCAGGTCCACAGATAAAAGTAATGATATAGGACAGTTTAAGGACATCACACATGATCAAGATGTGATGTACTCTCCACCATCTCCTATAACCAATGTTTTTTTCCAGGACACATGTATCCTGGTGTGTCTGAGCCCAATTCTACGTATTGTCCTTCTAAATGTTTGATATACATACATAAACAGATCTGTTGGCCATTTAAAGTTATAAGCCTTGCTTAGGGGGATATGGAATTGTGACAGAGTGAAGATTTATGAGAGTATGGGTATCTGAATTTGATAAAGCATGCTTTGATTGTTGTGAGGTTCTAAGGTTGATAAAGCAAATCATATACAGTGTTAAATGAAGAAAGCAGATGTAGACAACTGCCTTTTATTATATTGGTCTGGTTTTTCATAGTATTAATATGTTGCCTGTTGTATACATTTATTTTGATTAAAAATAAAAATCAGAACAATGCTTGCAGATCTTATGAGTCCAGCATTTTATGCAAATACACTGAATATAAAGTGATTTCTTATGACAAACAAGCCAAGTTGAAAATACAGATAGTATCATGTGCTGCTCAGGTTTATCATCAGACTGGCTACAGTATGGGTTTTCCAACATAGTGATATTTGGCCCTGTGTTCATCTTTATCTGTGAGGACATGGGGCCCCCTGACTGGAGTTGGCATCATCACCTTTTTGATGTAGAAGGTCACCAGCTAGACGTCCATTTCTGTCTGCCAATATGCAACACTAAAAACAGAGAATGTTATATTGTGCAAATTCACCTATAAACAGAGGATGAAAAGGGCTTGAAAGGTCCATCAATGTGCACTGCACTTCCATTGTGCATCCTTGCAGGTCTTAAAGTGTGTTTTCTTTACTCCACAGGAATACAAGGGATGTGGTCTTACCCTCCAGCAGCGAGTCCATTTAAAGTACTTAAAGCACTCCAGAGATAATAATGCTCACTTCATTTAGTCTGGAGAGTCTGCTGAAATATTGACTGACCACTAGCTGTACTTAATGATAGGTTGTGGCGATAGATGTGTTTTCTAAAGTGTGTTTTTGTTTAAGGTAACCACATTTTAAAGTGTACTCTGTAGCTTTTTCCATCAAAAAACAAAGCAATTTGACTCATCTTGCTTTCATACATTCATACAAACTGCAATTACTTGTTTGCATTAGTCCCTTAAAAGTAGGAGCAACGGTTAACATTGGTTTAACATTCTGCATCAGATCCAGAGCTGGCTACTGTTTCGCAGAATTCTGTTGCCACAGCAGAACAAAAGACTAGAGCAGGGAAATGTCCCCACAATCTGCACTTTTTCCTACTCAAACCAAATACTTTAATTATAGGAAGTTGTTTAGGTCAATGAGCAATCAAGCGGTCCCGGAGTATCACGCTTAGGGTGATTTTTTTGCAACAATTAGCCTGGACAGATACAACACCAAGCTTGATTTACTGGGTCATCAAATGTCTATTTAACTCAACGTGGCAGATCTGGATTTTACTGAATCACAGAAGACACAGTTCTGCATTTAATGTGGAAAGCCAATTAATTGTGCCGGCGTCCCTGTCTTTTTCAGATTCTTCAGAGATTTTCCCAATTCAGGAGTTGAGCTACGGCCAGACCAGCACTGGAGCTACAATAAGAGTATGAATGAGGAATTATTTATGTTATCGTAGGTCTAAGATTAAAAATATAATATTTTTAGAGCATTTCTTAATTGATTCTCTTTCAACACCATTTTTTTTTTGTCTCTCAACACCATCTAGTTCCTCATCAGTTAGAAACACAAACTGACAAAATTTAGATTTTTATAATTCAGCCAAATTCACATCACATCGACGGCGGGTTCTGCTTCGCTCTATTTGCCCTAATAGTGTCCTTTGCATTTCTAGGAACTATCCTGAACATACCTCTACATAGGGATAATTTGCAAATCGCCCGCTCGTTTGAGTTATTTATGTTTGGTGTGAACACAGGATAAAACCATGTTGGTCTGTTGTTGCTTTTACGAGAAGTGTTGTTAGTTTTGTAGGATGTAACAGGACAAAAAAGCATCACGTCTTTATGTTTTCCTTTTGCCCAAAGGTGGTTTACTACTTTGAACTCTCCTTGAGAAATTGGACACATGTACAAAATTGTTGGTACCCCTCGTTTAATGAAAGAAAACCCCACAATGGTGACTGAAATAACTTTATTCTGACAAAAGTAATAAAATGTCAATCATGCTTCATAAGAATGACTTAAAAAATAAACTTGTAAACTTCCTTCCAAATCCTCACAATGGACTTTGTAACCCTTTCAAAATGGACGTCAATGATTTTGTTTCTCATCTTCAAATTGCCTTTGCTCATTTGTTAAAACAAATAAAGTCTTGCAAGCTAGATGCATACTGCACATCTATTCGTGGCTGATAAATGAGACTGCATATGGTATGCTACATGTGAAATAGTAAACCAAACCTAGGGATTTGTGTTTCCCTTTTATCGATACCGACACCGTCTGATATTGACCTTAATCCACTCTTCAGTTACAGGCTTCCATTGATACAGCAGATACTAAAATAATTTATTTTTAGACATGCCTCATTGTATGAAGAGGAGTTAAAGTGTTACGGGCTGCTTGATTATATAGAATGTCTTTTGGGAACATCTGCAGTGAAAATATTACACCAAGCATAAAGCAACACACAAGTCAAAGTCTAGCAATAAACCTTCAGCTGTTTCCCTGTAGTTACATTGGTTAAACCTCTTAGATCATTTCAGGGGTGCTGCTGTGGTCTCTCTCCAAAAGATTTATGTTTTAGAGAAGTTGTGATAAGACTATTGAGTGACTTCAGGTATAATGCGACACTTTGAGTTATTGATGCTTAAAGCAAAAATCTCTGCAGTAAATGTCAATACAGCCTGGAGTTAAATGGGGATCAGCTCAGATAACAAATAAACATCATTTTCAGTAAAGTTTGGGCTCAAAGCAAGGCATATTGAAAATATGAGGACTCGGCTTACCAAAGGAGAAGACTTAAAGGGTATTTGGTGCTGGTCCTTAAAGTCTCTGAATAGGGTGTGTAACATTGGTTTGGCTGAAAATGGCACATTTGCTGTTCCATGAGCCGTAATGCAAGCCTGGTTATAAGCCCTAGAATGAAATAACAGGTTTTCTTCCTTTTATGCTATGCTCATTAATATTTAGATGACTGATTGTCGGGTGGGGATAATATACACCATATTATATGCACCAATGTCCGGGAGGGATTTCAAAATCGTCTGTGATTTTGGTTGACTACAGTGCAGCAGAATCGAGCCATGAGCTCCGGGGCTGGTCTGGGAACCCTGGTGGACAGAGGCAGGAGCCAGCGGGGGACAGAGTGACCGAACCCGACCTGTTGGACAGTAGCCTGGAGACAGACGGCCCCAGGCTTTTACCCCGCCTGCCCTACTGGCCCCCAGCCACCCTGTTCCGGCTAAGGAAGGGTGGCCCTTGGCTCTCTGCTGAGGTTCTGTCCAGTCAGTGGCCCAGCAGTCGACACTTAATACCGTCTGACAAAAGTACAGGCCTACCAAATAAGGCAACATCCCCGAGTTTATGTCAACTTTAAGGTGGAAGTTTAGAATTGTGAGGTTTGCCGAGAAAGGAGATGTCGATGGGGTTTGAACTTCTCTGTACGTCCATTTCACCCACTGAACTATCGTTATTCATCTATGACAACGGAAACTCAGTCTTGCATTCTATAACCCCTTTAAAGACCAATTAGTTTAAAAGTATAGGGCCTTACTAAAAGTGTTCATAACTCTTGAAAATGTTTAGGTTTTGTCATCTTGCACAACTTTGCAATCATTATGGGGAGAAATAAGAATAAACCTGTATATGTAGCTTTCAAAAAAATCCCAAAAAGAAAGGCATGTGATGTTTTCAGCTTCTTTTGAGATACCCTTTGATAAAATGCATTGCAAAAAAATGTTGTGAGGGTCTTCTGTTTCCCATTGTGTTAAATGAAGATGCTATAGCTTAGAAAGGAGCCAACAGCCAACAGAAGGGAGCATGTTGCTGGATTAAAGGTAAGGATCAGTTTTCATGGCTATGTAAAACCATAAGTAAGGAAAAACTTTGAAAGGTTATTTATAACTGCAGGAGCTACAAGATGGGAGGGCTAAAGGAAATGTCTGCCACACTTTGCAGATTTTACCAATTTTTTTGTCCCTTTTTTAATAATATTCCAAATGCATTAACTTTGCATTTCGGACATGACAATATAGCAAACATGTTTAGAGGTAAGAATGCATTTTATAAAGTTAATGTACCCTAAAAAATTTGATCTTTGATCGAGCCTAATTGATGTCACGACTCTGCGTAAAAGAAACTACCGTAAAAAGAAAAAAAAAAATTGGGAGGGCGAACGTATTTATTAGACACCGGGCGTGGCATGCTTTTCTCCACCGGAGGGGAGGAGGCAACAGCCGTAGTGCGCTCCGGGGCTGCTGGATGCTCCATGATGGATGGGAGATGACAGATCGGGGTTAGCCGCCAGGGGAGTCCATTTTCCTGCAGCGCGCGGTCCTATACCCGGACAGAAAGCGAAAGAAGAAGGAGAAGGAGAGCATCAACACAACAGCCCCCCTTTCCCTCCTCTCTGGTGCATCACAGTCTAGCGGGCTTTACACACCGACTGCACCGCATTGACGCTGCTGCTGCCGCCGACCCAGCCCACTGAAGTAGAGAGGAGCACAGCTGGAAATTAAATACTGCAGAACGTTTGGTTGGAAATGCATCCTTTTCAGTCATTTACTTTCTTTCTTCTGGATGCTTGTATAATCCAAACAGTTTGAAAGCTGACGGAGAAGACAGTTGCGTGTTTGGGATATTTTGCATCGGGGGGTTGCAGATGCAGCTCATGATGGGGATGAAATAAGATGAGATCGGTGCATTAATACCTGGATCATGCAGTTTCTGCAGCCTTGGACGTTAGTTATCATTTTGGGTCATGCACACGTTTTGTTATCCCTGGATAATAATAATGCACAAGTTGGGAGCAAAGACGAAAGCATCAGCAGCGGTTACTCTGGCAGGACTTTCCACAATCCGCCCCAGGAGAGCCATCCAAATAAAGCCAGAGAGCGCGCGCTCTTCCCGGGATACGCCACAGGTGCGAGCCTCAACTCCACTCGGCTGTGGAAGAAGGGGGAAACGAGGCGAAGTGGCCACGGTAAACGCAACTTCAATAGGAGCCTGACACCCGTGGATGATCCAGGCGTGGAGTCCCACTGGGACGCGACGCGCCACCATAATAAGAGGATAAAGTTGAATGGTGGCGCGGGGACGCCGGCAGGTGGACACTACAATGCGGTTAAGCCTCCTTCAATGGGTCGGGAGGACGGAGGAGGGGTGGAGGAGGAGGAGGACAAGCACCAGAGAGGCTCTAAGACGGTCAGGAGGTGGAGGAACAAGCATAACAGAAGCGCAATAGTTTCATCACCGTGGGAACCAGTCCCCAAACCGGTGGCGCTCACCTCCACTGACCTCCCATTTGACCTCTTCACTAGGAGGGCTGAGGTTTTCACCTTCAGGGAGGAGAACCCATGGGACGCCACTCCGATCACTCCTCCCGGTTCCCCGGATTTTGGGGACGAGATTAAAAACCCCTTCTACCCAGTGACAAGCCAGACTTTCGGGGCTTACGCGATCACATGCGTGTCCGGTGTCATTTTCTTGGTAGGAATAGCGGGTAACATCGCCATCCTATGCATAGTGTGCCAGAACTACTATATGAAGAGCATCTCCAACTCCCTCCTGGCCAATCTGGCTGTGTGGGATTTTGTGCTCATCTTCTTCTGCCTCCCTATGGTGGTTTTCCATGAGCTCACCAAGTCATGGCTGTTGGGAGAGTTTACCTGCAAAGTGGTGCCCTACGTGGAGGTAATGATGATGTTAATTGCTGGGGTGGAGGTATTGAATTACAATATACAAGGCAAAGAAAGACGCCTATGTTCATTTTCCAATTAAAAGCCTAAATTCTTCCCTTGCATGTAATTTCACCAGGTTTAAGTTAAAAGATTCTATTAAAACCACCTTAAATTTATCCAACAAAACAGTTTTGCACTTGCTATGTCTGCAGATAACTCCCATTTTCTGAGGCAGAACAACGTCAGTCGCAAGCCATTCATTTGAATGTGCTGTCCCTATCTAATAACTACAGAAATGCATCCGATGGACTGATTAGTGTTATTGGAAGAGATGAGCTTGAAAATTACAGGTTCTGAAATATAGGGGTAGATTTAACCACAGGAAGAATTTTGTCCAAACAAGATGCTTTCTTTTTAGGGGCCACAACCTTTTTTTTTAGGGGGGAAAAAGAAAAAAAATTGGAAAAACAAGCATAAGATGCTCAGATGTGTTCATATACTGTGAATTTAACTCTAATCCATATTACTACACATATGCCCAAATATAAACACTAGGAACATCCATCCATCTGTTTTCCATCACGCTTATCCCAAGCAGGTATATCTCCAGCTGTCTACTGGCGAGAGGCGGGGTACACCCTGCACAGGTCGCCAGTCTATTGCAGGGCAACACAGACACAAACAGGACAAACAACCATTCACTCACACCCAAAAAGAAGTTAGAGAAGCCAATTAACCTAACAGTCATGTTTTGGAACTGTGGGAGGAAGCCGTAGTACCCAGAGAGAACCCATCCATGCTCAGGTAGAACATGCAAACTCCATGCAGAAAGACCCACCAGGCTGGGAATAGAACCCAGAACCTTCTTGCTGCAAGGCAGCAGTGCTGCACACTGTTCCACTGAGCAGTCCAAACTGTGAACATTTCAAACGATCAAACAAGTTTAAACTGGAAAGCAAACGTGTATGTGAAACATTTATTAGGAACTGAACAGCCTGACCAGGACTTTTTTTTTAATGTAAAAATGCTGTTTTGACTTTGACTGTTACATACATTGCAAGCTGCAAAAATCATCTATCTGGATGCCTCAGACAGCCTCTTTAGATCTCATGATAGTTTTTAATAGGGCTGAAACAATTGTTGGACCTAATCGGGATTAATCCATTATTGAAATAATTAACTGCTTCAGTAATCGATTAATGGTTTACTGAAGTAAAGAGACTCTAAAACATGCTTTTAGCTGACTGAGCAATCAACTTAGAGCAGTAACCACACCAAAATTTTGGATGCAATTTTGGACTTTCATCTCTCATTCGATCTTGGAGCAGCAGGACGCTGCCTGTCAGTCTCTATGAGAAATCCCCATTGAGGCTCAAGTCTTTGTATATTGAGGAGAGCAAAAAGAAAGAAGGCTCTGATTGGATAACACGTGTAAAAATGAATACTTAACTTCCAGTGAGGCCAAGCCTCTTAGAGGGTCTATGGAGCGGGGGCAGGTTATGAAGCTGGCTGCTCGATGCTGATTGGCAGAAAGCTACTATAGGGTTTCTGACTGACAGTGGCCAGACAGTAAGGAGGTTTTTCCTCATGGGTTTCAGAGAAGAGAGGAAATAGCGATCAGTCAGAATAGTCGTCTTTTACTGAACATTTGACTTGGTATCTAGAGTTTATTTCAGAGCATTTCACAACATTTATTTTTTGCCGTTGTTGCAATGTTCCATTTGTTAACGCAATATGTTACTTTTGCATTAGTACCATTAAGCCTCCCGTTTCAGAGAGCATAGCAGAATCAGAGTTGTCTTTGAACATTCTTATCATTTCTGTTCATCTACCTTTTTATAAATGTCTCTATGCCTGTCAGTGTTCAGTCTAGCACACTTTTTCTGTGATCCATTTTCATACATTTTTGGATCACTCCAGCAAGATTTTACTATTCCAACCAGGGCAAACTGGAGTGGAAATGCAGCATAGGAGCTTGGTTGTAGAGGCCTTAAATTTGATCGTATGACAGATGCAAGAGGAACCCTACTTTATTCACAAATCTGCTTTATTTGTCGCACAAATACGCTTCTTTCAACTATTAAACCTATAAAAGATAGAGTCTTAAGAATTTTTTTTCTATATACATCAAGGATTAATGTATTTCTCATAGATAAATATTTTCAGTATATAAAAGTTTACTAAAAAAGCAGCTTATATAGCTAAGCAAATAGCAACAAACAGAAAAGCTATATCTTGATATACAAATTTTCTTCTTGTTAAACATTGAGATTTATTTTGATTGATAAAGCAAAATAGTTATTTGTGCACACAGAGTGCAACATTGCTGATATGCTTTCTTTTATACTCTGTCTTCAAAGGGTATCAAAAACACAGACATACTATGTTCCAAGTCTGGGATGGGATGACTGGACAACAGGCTGCTCATTCCCATTTGTAACCAACTTTACTTACTAGTTGTGTTGACATAAAATTATCCAAAAAGGTTGATTTTGCTTCTTGCAGCACAAACTTTCCATTTCCCTCTAATTTCCTTTATAAATCTCTGCCAATATATTCTGCAGACATTTTTCACTCTTTCCTCTTTAAATTTGGAGGGAAGTTTTGTATCCGTCCTTAAAATTCCAACATCAGACTCTTGTCCACCTGTTTTTAAGTTTGAGATCTGGAGGTACATAAGCAGGTTTGCAGACAGAAATAGATCCCATATGCAATTATTTAGAGATTTCAATGCAGCATTATTATTTAGATTTTGATGTTGCACATCTCAAAATAAGTAGGCAGGGATTATTTATTTTCTTCTTCAAATTTGCCCTTGAGTTAATATGTATTAATAAGCACTTTTTAGACTTTGCTGGGTTTGACAGAAAGCAATGTAAAAACACCTCAGGATTACATATGTATTATTTATTGTTTGATCAAAGATCAATAATCTCAATTAAACGCTTACATAGCCTATTCCATGCAGGATGTGTTAAAAAAGGAGCCCTTTTTTCCTCTCAATACTCAAAGTGAAGATGTAATCATTGCGACACACACACCGTGTCGCATCATGGTTTATTTAGGTGTGTGTGCATGCATGTGTAGCGACAGACTAAGTAATGTGGCCTAAGGGTATTACTCTCCCTTAGGAGCATTCAGCAAAATCTCTTTGAATAAACCCAAATGCATATGAAATTACCCCAAACCCCCCTTACCCCAAACACAGTTACTGATGTTGGCATCAACATTTGGAGAGAAGATAAGTGTATGCATAGGCATAAATATGTCTTTATGTGAATTTGAAATTGCTTGAATGGTTGAGCATACGCCAAGGGTGGAAGCTCCCCATGGTGCCATCTTCGGTAAACCTTGTTTTATTCAGCGTTCAGTGGAGTGTGGAATTCTTAGCCTCAAAGAGAAAGCAATCTTCTGCTGCAAGGTGTGAGAAAACACAGCTGTAAAATTGTGGGAAACCTGGACAAAATCGAAATCTGTAAAACAGCCATCTTGCATTATCCCTGATACGCTTTGCAGTTGTTATTGTAGACAGCCTGGCTTGGTTCTTCTGCTAAAAAGTGATAACGGAGCCTAAACTAATTGGCAATAACTTGAATTTTTTTTCACCTAACACCTGTGGCAAAAGGCTAGGTAAATAAAATGACTATATCATTTCTGAAATTGTGTCATGGAAGTGAAAAGTTATTCCAACCATCCATGTTCTCTCACTCATTCTGTAAGGGTCACGTGAGGCATCACTGGCAGGCTATGGGCATAAGGCAGGGGACACCCTGGACGGGTCCCCAGTATCTCACAAAGTTAGTCCATAAGTCTAAAAAATGAAATAACACACTCTCCCATCATTGAGTGATATAAACACAAATTCTTGTGTTCTTCAAAAAAAAAGAAAAGAATCAATCTGGTATTTTTTTCTCGCTGACACAGATTTCTAGTTTTGTTTTTAAGAAGTTTAATTAGTTCTGAGTATTTAAGATTCTAATGCACATTCAGGCCTTAAATGGATTTTAAGAGAATAAGTCTAGTGGGAATTAGAACCAAAACCCCATTATGTTACCCATGCTTTTCTTTAAAATGTCCCCATCAGATATTAATAGCGATTCAATATTAGCCAAAACACTATCAGGTTTTTATCGGCCAGGGTCTAAAATCTGTGATATAGTTTAATGCTGATAGAAACACGCTGCAACTGTTAAAAGTTTTTGTAACTCATTGGATAATTTTACATGGGTCAGTTGTTCTCATACCTTATGTTGTTGATTTTTCTTTTCCATTTTAGGAATATTACTTGATCAAAGCTTTCCTAACATTCTGAAATGAGTAATAAAAGCTGGTATGATCCCTTCTAATATCATACCAGGTCAGTATCGGCTATATTCTCAAAGTTGCAATATTGATACTGGAATTGAATAAGTTGTATTGGGACATCCCTACTTTTCGTACAGTTCTGCATGTTGTCAGAATGGTTAGAAATGTTTATGAACACTGTAGTCCAAGACTTTGCCAATCTAAAAAACGTCTCGACTTTGTTTTTAGAGTGGTCGTTTATTGAAGTGTTAGTGTAAATGTTGCTTTATTTCAGTCCACACTGGGGTGAATATTTTGTCATAACCTACCTCAAAAATTGAGTTTTTGGTGACATTTAGAGACAACATGGTTGTTTATGGTCGACTGGATGAATGTGAATCATTTTTAACAACAAGAGGCCTCTTTTCGACATGCCTTCTTCCCCGTTTATTACATGCATCTTGCTTGTTTATACAGATATATATGAAAAAGCATTAGTACAAGAGTTAAAAAACGAAATGGAAAAGGTCATTGAAAGCGCAAGTTAAACTCATTGAGTATTTTGAACTTAGTCCTGCAAGCTAAGCTGAGGATTTT